AGGGATGTACTGGAAAGCAGAAAATGTCTGGAGATAAGCTTTTCCATTGCTGTACACAGTGGTCACATTCCTCAGAACCCTGGGTACCACAGGAGCCCCTCTCTGAGGGTAAGATCATAGCCAATAACCCTCTGACACGCCCAGAATGACTGTCAGCTGACAGAAACAAGTTAAAGAACAGGAAAAAACAAAAAAAACACACATTTTCAGTGCTAAACCTCACAGCAAAATCAAGATTCGGCAAAATTGTGTGCAATTGTAATGAGTCATTCACCAGTCATTCTGAAGGACTTTGCCGCAATTTTCTTTCCAAAAATCACAATCGTCCAACTACCCAGCAGAATTGGAATCCGAACCCTTTTATTCACCATGTATAAAAAGTATAAGCACTTTGTTTTGGAGCAGTTGATAGTATGAAGTATTAAGACAAAAGCACAATTATTAAAAATAAAAAAGACACTGAGCAATAAAAATGTGCAATAAATAAATGCACAGGTATACATATAGACATATAAAGACGGGTAACACAACAAGGTGTGGGATGCAAACAGATCTGGGGTCAGTACAAATAAGGTTATAGAGTCAAAAGCAGGCCTAGACTGGGAATCTGGCAAACTGGGCATTTTCCTGGTGGACTGGTGGTTTGTGGGCCGGCAAAATTCTTAATATGTCATTAGACATATATGTCCTTTATCCATGTAAAATACATATGAAATTAATGAACTGTCAAACATATGTCTTATGTACAATTAAATGAATGTGTTATTAGTCATATAAGTGCATTATGTAAAATATATGTTAAATTCATGATTTATCAAACATATAAGTTCTACATTGATGTTAATATAAATATTTTTAAACAAATCTGCATTTTTAAATCCTGGTTTAATTCCGGGTCTGCTGGCAGAAGGCTACACTGCGCGGCAGGTTGCTTCAAGGTTCAAATTTCTAAAACAGCAGCACACAAGAATAAGGTGACACAGGAGACACTGGGAATGACCAGAAACCAGCCAGGTAAAGGGAGGAAGCGACTTTTTAAATGCCAGAGATGACTGTTAACTTATCTGACAGTTTCTCATGAATCGAAGGATGACATTAAGTGACCTTTAAAAGGAATGGGAAACAGTAAGTGCAGGTGTGAAGTGCACTGCTAGGACAGTTCATATCAGGCTCCTAGAAACAGGACTGAAGTCACATACAGCAAGGAAGAAGCCCTTCATTAATGAGAAGCAGGGAAGAGCCAGACTGCAGTTCGCAGAAAAATATATATTATTCACAGACACACACCCATAAATTGAGAATTGAGTGAAACAAAAAATTGTGCTGCGGTCTCTTAATTTTTTCCCCGGCTGTGTAAGTCCTATATACACTCACAATGCATATTAAATTCATGTTTTGTCAGTACTAGTTTTTATGCATAATTCTTTGAATGAACTCAATTGAATCATAAACTGTGGTTCCACACAACTAGAATGAGTATTTGGAAAGGAAATATGTTTTTTCAGCTGATGCTCACTTTGGGTTCTGAGAACAAAACACAGTTACGTTAATCTCACTGAATTTTCTCATGTCTAATTAAACCAACTGGATGTGCAGAGATCATACATGCATTTCATTAGAATAATATAAAAGCTATATAAATTTTAAAGTGAAAACGAACAATATACATGAATTTCCTACTAAAGCCATATTTGATCATGTATGATTGATTTAATACTTTTATATTTTTCCAGCTGGCTTTTCCCTTGAGTGTCTTACATGTTAAATGTGTTTTTTGGTATGAATGTGGCCATAATCATACAAGAAAAAACACCGACTTGCAGTGAACATATAAAATCCACCATGTGTTGTCATATATAACTGTAATAGGAAACATGCTTGACAGCCTTACATGAAGCATGCAGTTTTTTATAATGGTGGTCATAAGCACAGTGCTATGGAAAGGTGTAATAGCGGTCGGTTGCTTTCCTGGTCAAAATAATAGGGATAGGAGACAATCGGTCTTGGTCACAAGATAAGAAATGTCCTTGTCTTCGGTACGGTGACATTGTAAAGTCACACGAGTCTGTGTAGAAAGTTGTGAGGAGCTGCCTGATAATTATCTCTTGGCCCCGAAACAACAAGAGATCTTTTCTTTCAGCTTTGTAGTGTCGCACTGAAATCTAAAACCAGCAATTGTGTTTTAATAACTGTATTATGAAGCCGTACTGGTTGGAGCAGAATGTGAAAATTCACACCTCAGAGCCAACGGTCTTTATCATTGAATGCTTCTCTACAAAAAGCAACAGATGTATTCTCACAGCATTTTTCCAAAACTCACTCCCAGTCAAAGCCAATAGCTTAGGTCCTACAGGGGGAACTGGGCTAGTGAAATAACCATTGTACGCCACAACCAGTGTACGCCACAACCAGTGTACGCAACAACCAGTGTACGCCACAACCAGTGTACGCAACAACCAGTGTACGCAACAACCAGTGTACGCCACAACCAGCGTACGCCCACAACCAGTGTACGCCACAACCAGCGTACGCCCACAACCAGTGTACGCAACAACCAGTGTACGCAACAAGCAAAGAAAAACTTTTTAAGGCAAGACGTGTGCAATGCAAAGCTCAATTTCTCTCCAAGTTTGGCCAATTATTGATGACATATCTATCAACTTCCAGTCTCAATACAACCTTATTTACTTACTGGCAAATTTTGCCGGCCCACAAACCCATCAGAAAAATGCCCAGTATGCCAGATTCCCAGTCCAGGCCTGCTTATGTCTCGATAAATGTATTTATTTTTCTTATTTGTACTTCTGTCTTGATAGTATGGTAAATTGTACACTTCATGTGCTCCAAAACAAAGTCCTTATACATTTTATACCTGGTGAATAAAAAGGTTCTGATTCCAATTCCAGGGATTTTGCCGCAGAGACTCGCGCTGATGCTTCACACCTCTGGGACTATGGTTCAAATCTCCACCTTGGTTGTACATGTGTGTATGTTCTCCCTGTGTTATTGTGGGGCTTCTACCGGATACCCCCCCCCCCAACAGCCCAAACACATGCTAAAGTAAATTGGAGTTGCCAAGTTATTTGTAGGTGTGAATGGTGTGTGTACGCCCTGCAATGGGTTGGTGCCCTATCCTGAGTTATTCTCTGACTGATGTCCACAGCTTCTGGGATAGACCCCAGACCCCTAATACCCTGCACAGGAGAAGCAGGTACAAAAGTTGGACAATTGTGATTTTGGGGAAGACAACTGTACTGTAGGACGTCAGAATGACTGGTGAATGACAATTTTGCACAATCTTGATTTTGCTGTGAGGTTTAGCACTGAAAATGTGTGTTTTTTTTGTTTTTTCTTGTTCTTTAACTTGTCGCTGTCAGCTGACAGTCATTCTGGGCGTGTCAGAGGGTTATTGGCTATGATCTTACCCTCAGAGAGGGGCTCTTGTGGTACCCAGGGTTCTGAGGAATGTGACCACTGTGTACAGCAATGGAAAAGCTTATCTCCAGACATTTTCTGCTTTCCAGTACATCCCTGAAAAGTGACTTACAGCAATGATTGGATTCGCAGAATTACAGCTGAGAAACAAGTGGTCACATGACATGGGTGCCGGTGGAAAGACCACTGTGCAGGGGAACCAGCTCACGTCATGCAAGTTTTGCAGCAGCGGCGATTAAGTGTGGGGAGGGGGGGCAAGCACCCCATGCTCAGACAGGAGATTCCCCCTAACAGTACGCTGGCTGATCACCACAGCGAAGGTTCCCCATTCCTCTGGTTTCATCATTTCCCCAAACACAGCCTATGCCTCTGAAGTGAGAGTAGCCTGCAATGTTTGGCTGCAGATGACAGAATGTGGGCCAAAGGCTTCTCTGGACAGGCCCAGGAAAGCTGGACAGTTCGGACGTCCTCAGCCTTGGGGTGGGTCAAGCTCAGGATACAGAAATGATCTAGTTGCTGTGCAGAATACCGACTGAAAAAGTTACTGTCTGGGAAGACTGGCAAGTGGTTGGTGATAATATGCTTGGTCACAACCTGGTACGCATGTCTGAATTGTACAAATGAGACTTACAGAGTAAAGCATTATTATGAATATTATTTCACGTCGACCTAAAAGCCATATCACCTCAACACATAAACATACAATTCAAGTTTTTACAAGTGATCTTAGCTGCGAGGGTGGTTTCTCTGCCACTTCTGTTTCCAGTTTCCATTTCTTAATGTGTACCGGTAACGCTGGAAAATACCTACAACTCAAATTTCAGCATTTTTTTTTACCTACGGTACAGCCTCCTTGTCTGACATTTCAGTAGCAGGCAGGACATAGTGCGCGCCCTTCACCTCTGACCTTTGCCAGAAAAAAAATGTCGTTATGCGGTTATGGGATCTCCTACATACTTTTATTACTGTACATGGCATGTGGAAGTTTCCAAAGTTCAGCTGAGTAGGCAACATGTAGGGAGTTCCCTACACTACCTGTTATTAATCTTGGCATACCTTGTGTGCCAACAATAACAATACTACTACTACTACTACTACTAATAATAATAATAATAATAATAATAATAATAATAATAATAAGAAGAAGAAGAAGAAGAAGAAGAAGAAGAAGAAGATGAAGAAAGATGTTTAAAAAATCTATGCCGTTGAATTTCCATTGCTGTAATTCCATCACATCATACTAAGCTGTTAAGAATTGTTTACACGTGTGTGAATTACTAAGATCATTTCGTTGTCAGGAGTTTAAAAAGGTCTTAAAATGGCTAAGTAATCGATACCGCGAAATTGCGGGGTCCTGGCGGACATTCGTCTGAAAATTGGGGGAGGGAGAAAAATCTATCCGGGGGCTCAAGGCTGCGCTCCTTTCGTAAGGGAAGCAAGTTCTGGTGACACAGTCGATGGCAGTTTCTCTTTCTCCTGTGCAGCCTCTCTTTTTTCCGGGCAATTTTGGAAGGGAAGTTAAACCCCAAACGGAGAAAAAAAAAAGAGAAATGTCCGTGAAGTATGATAAATCCTCCGCTTTATCAGATGACTCGTAGGTTTTGCAAGCCCGCTCTCTGTCCATCACCAGTTTCTCACCAGTAAGTGCAGTAACGTAGCTATAAATAGATACTTTATTGATCCCGAAGGAAACTGCAGTAACACAACACGCATTTACATAGTAATATTCAATAACAATAAACAGTTAGAGTGCAAGGAATGTCAGAAAAGTTAAAGAAGTATTTTAGATTGTCATGTATTAGGAGTATTTAATAGTCAAACAATGGTTAATAACATCTAGCGACTGGCAAAACGGATGATGGATGAGTGACGGACGGATGCCGATGCGCAGTTCTTCTCTCTCCTGTGCAGCCTCTCTTTTTTTCTGGGCAATTTTGGAAGGTAAGTTAAACCCCAAACGAAAAAAAAGCAGAAATGTCCGTGAAGTATGATAAATCCTCCGCCATATCAGGTGACTCGTAAATTTTGCAAGCCCGCTCTCTCAACTCAACATCACCATGTTTTCTCTTCCCTCTACTGGATAACCCCTGTGTAACCCCCCGCCCCCCCCCCGGCTGGGACTCATAATATTCAATACAGTATTATCTTTATCTATAGAATATGCTTATATAAAGTATTACACATATTGGCAGACAGACCGACTGACACTAAAAACACTCTGAGATAATATGAAGTTCAAACATATTGAAATTGAAACGTATCGAAAAGTAACACATCAGGGAACACTGAAAATAATAGATAATGTAATAGTTCATATTTATATAATACATTATTTTATTAAAGAAAGAAACGTGTTTAAATCTGTTTCGATTGAAGGCTTTGTGTTTATTAAAAAGGCAATTGGTCAAAATGTTAATAATACACACGTTTGAAATAACTCGTTAATTGGAACTATCAAATTAGAAATAATTCAGTGTAATTCATATCTATCCTAAGATGGTCAACAGAGAGTGTCAGTGAAATAACGCTCTGGGCGGCCTGTTAAAATATGACAACATGCCCCGACCACAATCTCTGGCTAACTTCAGCTAACTTGCTATTAAGGCTTACATGAATTAGGTGAGTTATTTACATATTAAAATCAAAAATAAAATCCTCTACTATAAAAAAAAAACAGTTTTACAATTAACCAATAAACTGCAGGTTTTTTTAAAACATACATAGTAACATTACATTTTTTAATTGAATGGGTCAAAATGATTAAATATGCATCACGTGAATATACAGTATACATTTAGTTGGGATGTGGTTTTCTGTAACTATTTCTGTAACTATTTCTGTAACTATTTCTGTAACTATTTCTCACCAGTAACTTCTAGTCACAGAATAAATTGCTGTGACAACATGCCCTTGCGACATTTAACCTCGTACTTTGTATAACTATGTATGTGACAAAGAATCTTGAATCTCGAATAAAATCTAGCGACTGGCCAAACGGATGATGGATGAATGATGAACAGATATATGAAAACGGTAAAGAGTTTACCGGTAAATTCTCCTGTGACTTCGCCAGTAAAGTTGTCGCCTTACGTCATGGTAAAGCGGAAATGCGGACAAGCTTTTTTTTAACCACTAAAATCGAGGGGCGGACTTGTCCACCTACTTACCGCGGGTTTAAATTACCAGCATTTCCAACAAAGCAAATAAAAACAAAGCACCAGCGCTCACTGTGGGTTTATCCATGCTGTAGAAAGCCGAAGGAGGATTACTTTGTAACTGACCGGTCAATCTCTGCGCCTTTTTTTCCGAAATGACATCAGAAAGTGACATGGAAGCTCTACGACCGCCGACTGGCAGCAGCTCCGGCAGTCCGTCCATCTGGCTTGTGGCGATGGTCGTGGTTCTTTTCGTGACTCTGATCGGGGGAACAGTGACAGTCACCTTGATGGTGATGGAGATCCGGAGAGAGCTGGCCGAAATCAACATGACCCACCCGCACAACCACAGCAAGGTACCGATCTCAAGATAAAAATTGATCAAAATTACCTTCAATTTAGTTTTTTAAAGCTTAAACATTTAAACAAAGTTAATTGTGAGAGGTTCGTTTAAACAGTTAATCTTGCAGGCATTTATAGATTTATAGATCAGTAATATCTATTATATACTAGAAACCGTATATATATATAGTAACCGTAATATATAGTAATAAAATATGTGGACATGTTTTCTATTATTGCCAAAGTTAACTGACTGCTTTAAGCTGATTGTGGAAACAGCATGCACGTATGTCTTTGTGAGCGTTTTCTGTTAAAGGTACTTGAGAAAGTGGGCTTAATATATTAGTTTTCAAAGTAAAATTAAATGGATTCGGCACGCGTTTTGTAACATGCCTCGTCTTCCCGCCAGGTACATCAATCTTCCTCCATCCTCACACCGAAATTCGGTGAGTATTTTTGTCTCTGAATCCTGTTGCATACTTCCGGCAAACGCGTAACATCTTTTGTTTGCTTAGAAGTGTTCAAAGTGAAACGAAGTGCCTGTTGTCTGGAGTCTGTGGACGTTTGAGTAACAGCAGCCCTCTTTCCCTCCTGCAGAACAAGTAAAGACCACCACCATTTTGTGGGAACTGCACCCAGGGCAGAGTGGAGTGACCTACAATGCGGACAATGGAAAGATACAGGTTGAGCATAATGGAACATACTTGATGTACCTGAACTTGGGAGTGCGCTGTAATCCTCATAGCTACTGCAGTAGGGCCACGTTGACTATCAGGGTTAAGGACCAAACCAAGACACAGTTAACCTGCGAGGTGAAGCTTCCGGCAGGTGCGAAAACCGTGTGGGCAAACGATTGCTTGTCCGTGGTGCCTCTGAGTGCCCAGCAACCCCTCATGGCAGAGATGATTACGACTGTGGAAAATGAGGAGTGGAAGCTGATCCGGGAGCACAGCAAGCTGGGGCTCCTCCCGGTGGACAAGCTGGGGAAGTGAGGGTGCAGGTGCCCTCGTGGATGTGCGGAGAACCGGAGCCCAGGGCCGGCAGGGCTCAAGCTGGAGCACCGAAAGATCTGCAGAACCTCACAGAGCAGAGATGGTGCGCCCTTTTGCACAGGAGCTATGGACGGACACCAAGTCAGAGCCCGTTACTTCGACAGAGACGCAAGGCGCTTTCTTAGACACTTCGTGCCAAGATGACACTGTGATGTGGCACAAATCACTATGCCAACTATCCCAGTTCATTTCCTGCTTCCTGTACATGCCTAGCACTACAGTGGCACTCTCAGGATAGTATTTTGTAACGTATCCAGGGCTTGGGATTTCAGGACAAGGATAACTAGACATTTTCCTGTTGATCCAAGTACATTTTACATTTGACTGATTATTATTATTATTATTATTAATATTAATATTATTCTTATTATTGTTGTTGTTTTGTTATTGTTGTTGTTGTTGTTTTGTTATTGTTATTATTATTGCTGTTGTTGTTGTTGTTGGTGAGTTTGTGTGTGTGCCCCGTGATGGACTGGCATCCTGTCCATTAAACCATTGATGGATGGGTCATTATCATTAAGTAATCGCTATTGTTGTTTTACTCACTACTATTTAGAATATGTTGTTATTGTTATTTTTTGTATTATTTATAACCTGCGGCCTGTACTACGAAGCGGGGTTACTGGCTTATCGGGGTACCTTGTCGGATTTATGGTACCGCAGTTTAAATGGACATTCGTTCACATATTCACATATTCGTTCACGTACGTTTTGCCCAGACCACCGCAAATCCGACAAGTTACCCCGATACGCCAGTAACCCCACTTCGTAGTACATGCCACTGCACTTTGGTTTGTTACCTGACACCATTGTTCGTTTTTTTTTTGGGAGGCATGTATCCAGATGACTCCACGTAGGGGGGGGGGGGGGTGTCTTTCCTTTTGAGGTCCTTCCCCCAAGCAGGGGGTGGGGGCGGTCTACAGCTCAGACCGAACACACTTTTGGACCTCTGTCCCCTTGCTCCACAGCACTACTGTATTGGCATTAATGGGCAACATTGCTTTTAAACTCTTATTTATTTGTTTTGTTTACAGTTGTGTGAATGCATGAAAGGATCCTTGCACTAATGTTCAAACTAACAGTAAATATATACTGAGAAATCAATAAAAAAAACAGATTATATATGGCTGTGCTCTTGTTTTCAATCCACTTATTCCAGAAACCGTTTATCTGTTTTCCATACCCACTAGTCCTGTGCAGGACTGCAGGGGTCCAGAGCATATCCAGAAACTACAGGCAAAGGGCAGGGGATAACCTAGGATGGGCCACCAACCCATCGCAGGCAAAGGGCAGGGGATAACCTAGGATGGGCCACCAACCCATCGCAGGCAAAGGGCAGGGGATAACCTAGGATGGGCCACCAACCCATCGCAGGGCACACTCACACACTAGTCACACACGCATGCACACCTATGGGTAATTTGATAGCTCCAGTCAACTTTAGCATGTTTTTGGACTGTGGGGGAGAAACTGGAGAACTCAGAGGAAACCCCATGCTGATACGGGGAGGGCATGTGTCACGGTCGGTGCCCATCCGGGTCTGTCCCTTTTGTCTTGTTCCTGTTTGGCCAGCAGGTGTTGCTGGTCATCCTGCTCCCTGCGTTTTATGGTCCCTGTACCTAGTGTGTTTCCCTGCTCCCTGCGTTTTATGGTCCCTGTACCTAGTGTGTTTCCCTGCTCCCTGCACTGCTGCATAGCTCTACGGGTCGAATGCTTCACCCGTCTTCTCCGACCCTCTTTAGAAATGGTTTATATGGCATATATTCTACAATATTAAATAACAATGACTGGTGTTAACCTGCCCACCCTCCAGGACCTGTATTCAGAGTCTGGAAAGTCATCTCACGCACCCACTCCTGGGCAGCAATCTCCGTAAACACCTCCTGCAGGCACTAGAGATCACTGAGCACCTAAACAAATAGGCACAAGAATGGTTTCTACCCACAAGCCATCACTCATGATCAGCTGACCTAGGTGCTCAGCTCAGTTGCACTGCCCCCCCCCACCCACATTGTTGTAAATAACCCACTGCATGCATTGCATTGTTTTGTATGTTCATTATTTATTTCTGCAGTTCTTGCACTGACATGCACTCCTGCACTTTCTACCTTCTGTACTGGTATTAGGCTGCATGTATGCATCGTCTCGTCTTGTCTTAAGTATGTTTCAACTTTATGCAGGACGGTCACTGTCAGCTAGGCGCAAATTCCCTGCAGGTGTGAACATGATCGGCCAATAAACATGATTGTGAAAATATGTCCTTCTTCTCGTGTGAGACATATTTCAGTGCTGAAATACTAAAGTTTCCTTTCTATCGGAATAAAAATTAGTGAAATAAATAAAACAGTTCAGGCTGGCCTATTTCAGTCTCGTCTGTTGTGCTTACTGGTATGTATAAAGCAATACTTCTGAAAATAAATGCCAATAATAGACAACAAGCCTGCCACTAAGGAAGTAAAACCAGAATGGTGATGAGCGAATTTAAAATGTGAAAAAGGAAACAAAACTAAAAAGCACAGAGGAGAAATTCCTCCCAGTGGGCGGGAAAACCATGTAAATGCGTAAAATGTCACACTGGCATTTACAGTCAGCTAGGCCTACACCTAGAATCGCAGCATGATCCAGATTTTGCAATGTTTAGCTATTACAGCTGCAACCATTCCCTAAGCTTCTTATTTAATACACTGATGTGTACGCAAGGGATCTTTGTTTTTGTGATGGTACTTGAACAAAATCGCAGGATAAGCATGTAGATCTGGAAATAGGAGTGGAGCTGAATCCAAACACAGTATTCAGGAAAGCACAAATACTGGGTTTTACAAATATTTATTTAGTACAAATATTTTTCTAAATTGTTTGTTTTCGGGAAGTAAAAAAAAAAAAATCATGTTAAGTAGCTGGTGTTCCTCTTAACTCTGAGCGCGTGATATTTCTGCTCCTCCTGCTGGATCGCATATACGCCAGAGGTTCCACAAGTTTAAAATAAGATAAGATAAGATAAGATAATCCTTCATTAGTTCCACAAGTGGGAAATTTGCATCGTCATGGCAGAAAGTGGACAGTACAAGAATAGTGCAGCAAAAATGAAAAACAATAGCATAAGGACTATATATAAAAATCCTGATCGGAGCAGGACACCCCAGACGTAAGTGTGAGGTTTAGTTCTTGGAATACGATGCTTGAGAGCGAATAGTTTTCATTTGTAATGTTTTTTGTTTGTTTATATTCTGTCTTGTTCAGTGTCTGTGACATGACCTCCGTTAACCCCGTCCAGTCCATGTCTGGCCAGCAGGTGTCACTGCTGTGCCCTTTCGTTGGCATCTACCGAGCTGTTTCCAATCCCTTATGATGTGTTTATCCTTGTGACCATACTTGCCCCTCTCATACTCCGCGTTAGCAGCTAGCATTTTGGAGAACTCAGAGGAAACCCCATGCTGATACGGGGAGTGCATGTGTCACGGTCGGTGCCCATCCGGCTATGTCCCTTTTGTCTTGTTCCTGTTTGGCCAGCAGGTGTTGCTGGTCATCCTGCTCCCTGCGTTTTATGGTCCCTGTACCTAGTATGTGCCCCTCCGTGGTTGTTATGGTTTTAATAAACCCAGCAATAGTTTACGAAAAACACTCATATTACCACTTGAATATCCTAAAATTAATTAGTGTAATAAGAACACAAACTGGATCGTTACACCTATCTCCACTTGTATTCGAATATAAATAAATGTGCAAAACAAATCCGTTCATCACAATATTTTTCGCTATCAGAGCCATTTTTACTGATCCCATTCTTGTTTATCATTAATCAACCATGATAGTTCATGCACTCCATTCAGGCACTATATTAGTTAAGAGTTAACTTATTAGTTAATAATGGTAAGACCACTTGAGGGAACAAAAATTAATTCATTTACTATGCAAGAACAAATCATGAACTAATATAGGTTCCCCCATGAAATACATGAGCTGTCATGAATGATTAATGATGAATGAACATGATATCAGTAGTTAACAAACACTTAATTACTGGTTAATTAATGCATTAAGTAAGCCTATACTACTACATTATTCATGTCCTCTGAACTAAAGCATTAACCGTATATCCCTCAGCTAAGGAGAAATTAAACCTGAAGTGTCATACTTAAGGGGAAAACTGATGGTGTTTTGTGCAATTGGCCCCAAGATTTTAGGATGTGACCATCAATAACATACTTTTACGAATGTGTTGAGCAATATGTTAAATTTCATGCTCTGACCTGATTATATTCAATTTATTTTAATATAGTTACAATGTGTTGGTCCCTTCCCGGATTACTTCTTGGCTTGCACCTATAGCCTCTGGGATAGACTCTGGACTCCCGCGACCCTGCACAAGACAAGCAGGCATTCAAAATGGGTGGATGTTTCAATATAGAGGCTTCTAAGTCTCTAAGTATCATACATTTTTGGTCTCACTCACACTAAACATCACACAATTTTGGATCTCTTTACTGTCACATTTATGTTTCAAATCTCTCACTTTCTTCTGCAATGTTGCCCTATTGTTGTACAACCAGAAAAAGTGAAGGTACTGTAACATCTTATGTCTCAATAGTGATACCTCCATTCCTGTCTCCACTCAGTCTTGCCTCTAGAAAAACCCACCCTGTCACTGACACCAGGGGGCAGCATTGTAGTTTTATTTTTTTACCTTAAAACTCACAGGGCATTGCAGTACTCCCTGAAGATCATTCAGTTCCTTTTAAAATCAATTAATTTTTATTTATGTCATTCTAACATTATTGTGGTCTTAGTATCTTAGCACTGAAATGACACAGGGGTGCTAATCTTTTCTTTACAGGGCAATAAATTTCACACAAGTTAGAAGCAACACTTCTCAAAAAGATCTGGGTCCCTGTAAAAAAAAATGCTGCATCATTATAACACTACTAGATATGGCAAGTGCGAAGATCGCTGTGTCATGAAGTCTCGATGAAATCCATTTGAGTATATTTCAATTGTAAATAGCATGAGTGAGAAAGTTCTTGGTTCTATTTGATACTTTCCTGGTTGTTTTGTCTTTCTTGACCATGTGGCTGCCTCAGCCTCACATTTGATTATACAGAAAAGAAAGCGTAGCCTTGACTGATGAAAGAAATTCTCTGGGTCATTCTGGATGAGAATATTTGCTTACTAAATGTGCAATACCATGATGTGAAATACTTCCGGTGATGTGTAATACTACTGCTTTATAAAGCAAATCATTGTACCATGTACATAAACTCTGTTTACTTATTTAACTATTATGTATACCATATTCTATATAGAATATTCCCATTCAATATCCCATTGAATTTCTTACACGACCCAGTGACATACTGAAATCAAGATGGGGAAGGTAGAAATACAGGTGAAAAAAAGGTCAACTGTATTTTTCAGATTTCTTACTCTGTAATTCTTTACATCGTAGCTGTTCCAGGAGATGTACGGGGAATTTTGTTGTAAAATGTACAATACCACTGAAGTTCTATTCTATTCTATTCTATTCTATTCTATCAGACAACTAGACCCTCCTCTACATAAATGGTGACGCAGTGCAGATGGTTCCCAGCTTCAAGTTCTTGCGCCTAACAGTTACTGAGGGGCTGTCTTGGAGCACCAATAGCACCTGAACAACGCATATGTGAGGAAACCGAAGAAAGCAAACCATCTGTAGAAGCTCCTGGTGAACTTGTATCATTGAGCCATTGATAGTGTGCTTGTCAGTAATGCGCACAGGCTGCACAGAGGCAGACAACAAGCTCTATAGGGGGTGATAAAGAATGCTGGGAAAATTATTGAAACCCAACAGCGCCATATCACCACCATCTATGCGTCCCGCTGGCTACACTGTACTAACGGCATCATTAAGGTCCAGTCACTTCCTGTGCATTACTTGTTTGATCATTTGCCTTCCGGAAGATGATACAAGTCTCTCCAAGCTAGGACTTCCTGAATGAAGAGCAACTTCTTCTCCCAAGCTGTCATGCAATTTACCAGCATTGCAAACACATTAATTTAATCTGATGAGCTTCTCAAGGGTTGGGTAAGTGGGTGGCATGGTGGTGCAGTGGTTAGCACTGCTCCCTCAGGGACTCGGGTTCGAGTCTCCGCCTGGGTCACATGTGTGTGGAGTTTGCATTTTCTCCCCATGTCGTCATGGAGTTTCCTCCAGGTACTCCAGTTTCCCCCCAGCAGTCCAAAAACATGGTGAGACTAACTGGAGTTGCTAAATTGGGGGAGTGTGCCCTGCAATGGGCTGGCCCCCCATCCTGGGTTATTCCCTGCCTTGTGCCTGTAGCCTCCGGGATGGGCTTTGGACCCCCTGTGACCCAGAAGGATAAGTGGTTTGGAAAATAGATGGGTCAGGTAAATACTTGATAGCACTCCCCCCCCCCCCCCCCCCACCTTACCATCCTTGCCTCATCCAGGATCCATTTTCCTGCGTTCGGTCATCTTTCTCTGAGTTGGAACTCGGATAAAAATGTAATAGAAAGCCACTTTCTGTCTGAGACTCGCCTCCTTTCCGACGTTGAAGTCGGACAGAATTTTGTTATCCTGTGACGTCATTTGAAAATGGCGGCTTACACAGTCAACAGTAATTCTATTTTGTAAATAATAGTTATAAATGTAACTGTGCGTTTTCGATTTAGAGAATACCATATCATGACCGTAAACAGTATCCTATCATGCAATATCAGATTTTTACCAGACTTGTTAGTGTCTTTGGTTTGTTTGTAGTTTGTTTGCATCCCGAAAAAAGAATATCGCTATGAATGTACTAAAATATTATAAAGCTTTTAATGTGGTTTGACTAGTTTGTGTTTCTTGCTTATTTGTCTCTTGGAAAAAAGAATCTAAACTCCAAATCTGCTAAAATATAAAGCAACAACACACAGCAGCGTGTTCATGGAGGCAGCCATGTTTGTTCCGAGATGTGGTAGCGCGAACGGGAGATTGGTCACGCACATGACTTCGGAGAGATAATCGAATGCCCCATTTGTCACCTAAATGTCTATGCAATTTCAGGACGGAACCTGAACTTTGTCTCCTGCACTACATGCACTATGACATGCACCTTCACCTCGCATTAGAATGCTATTTCATTTGACTGACTGCCTCATTCCCTAAGATCTGTTGTGTACGTGCTGTACAGATTTAACAACAGATATATCTAAACTGTTCTTTTCTCCCTATTTTATCTTGTATTTTACTTATTGGCATTGTACTATGATGATTGCAAGATAACATGACTTGATTCAAAACAGTGTGAGGTGTCAAGTGAACTAAATCAGTATTTCCAGCAGACAGTAAAACCTAGCCGTCCGTATTCCAAATTTTCTCGTAACCAATATTTGCATTTAAAATGCGTTTTATTTGCACCATTTGAAATGACTGTTGATTTTGCGGTGCCTCTTAGGTAGGTGTTATCGGCTCTTTCAGCTTCCTGTAAGACCCCACTAGCTGAAGGGGAATTGGAGGTTTTTTTTGTCACCTCTGCACTCGTCTGTTGCACATGCACCCTCTTTGGTCAGGACCTTTGAAGCTTTAAGCAGGTCAACGACGTGCAAGCATTACTTATGCAGGCAACTCTTCCAGCCACAGCTGACGGTGCCCACTGCCACTGCTGTCGTTTCCTGGAAGATGCAGGCCAGAGGATTCTTCAGAAAGCAAAATAAGGCGTGTCAGTGTATATCTGTGCATCAGGGCTCTAAAGTTTCACCAGAAGTTTGAATGAGATTACATCTGTTAGGGACAGAGCACATGTCTCTCACTAAATACATGAGAATCTGTCTGCCACATTCATCGGGTCTTGGTCTTCCACTTTATCTGCTTTCCGTGTGTGTGCGCATCCACGTAATAACACGCTTGCAGCAGAATCACTTGTAACTTGTTTTGGCTGGAAACAACAAATGCTATTTTCTGATTGGCTGATAGGTGGCTATTGACACTGTATAACTAAGGACCGCTATGGACTCTGTGGAAAACTCTACTCCATTAATTCTGCATAACAGGACACCGTGGTGGGCATCGTCCCTTACTTCTCAGTGTGAGAAACACAATGTGTGGCATGTGAGCCGGCCGATATGCTTGTGTGTCACGGTCAATGTGTGAGACTCAAGAATCTTGCTGTGCATCTACATCTGCACTTATGCTTCAGGCTGAAAAGACTGAAACACATCACAGCAAAAGCAAAAACACATGCAAAAGAGAGAATGCATCTTTGCTAAACACACACATTGAAGCCAAGGTTAATCCAGGACTTTCTTTCAGATTTAATTCTGTGTGTGTTTATGGTTATATAACAAGAATACCACAAAGTCGACTTCGAGTAAAGATAATTTATTCAGCAGATAAACCTGTCTACAAGAGTATCAGCAAAATATAAACTTATTTTGGTAAGATCAATATAAAAAGTGCGTTACAAAGAACCTCCTCATTGTGAAGATACTATTTACAGGTCAGCCAGCGTGACTTTTCTAGCTCTGAAACTCCCATCCTTAACAAACGAGCGTAAGCAATATACAGTTATTATAATGTAATATATGGCGATTATCCGGATATAGCTGCCAAAGTTGCAGCTGAGTTAAGGACTAAACAAGACCTGCTTGTATGTAAGCCAATGACCACCCAAGACTCAAAAATATTTTCAAAGTGTTACTCCCAAAGTTACAGATATAATTTCATGCATTCATTGCATTACACCTAAAAAAAATCCATATCTAAAGCATGGATTTTTTTTTTTGCTTGTGCAATATTGCACCGCGGGCTGTGAAAAACCTCACCCACCCACCTGCCCACCCACCTGCCCACCCACACACACACCAACACACACACACACACACAGACACACACACGGACACACAAACAGGCACACACCCACACACACACACACACAAACGGACACACAAACAGGCACACACACACAAATGGACACACAAACAGGCACACACACACACACACACACACTGCATAATCATCTACAACATGTATGCACCAAAGAAGTTATCCGCAGAGGTCTGCCTCAATAGCTTTGTATGATTCTGCACCTTTACAAAAATGGCATCACCCTCATGCAGAAGGTACGCCCCCCCTAGGTAGCTGTTCAGCATGCCCCCCCTCCTGTCACCCCTCTCATGAAATCGGAAAGTGCGCATCAGCTCCATTTCTTTATTGGGGCTGCGTGGGCTGATCCTCAGGACCGTGTGGGTGAAGGCTGCTGGGCTGGGCTCAGAGAAGAACACCTTGGAGTAGATGAAGTAGAAGCCCTCCGTCTTGACAAAGAGCTTCCCCTCGGTGTAGTCCATCTCGTAGGTGAAGGCATCTCCCCCGACGGTGGTCCACATCATGAGTCCATCTTCCCGGGGTAGGTGTGTGCTGGCTTGATAGGAAAAGTAACAGATCACTGTCAGTCCCCCCAAGGGTGGGTTTTCCAGCTCTGTTCATTCCGTACATAGAGCTATTTCCATTCAGCTCCCTTGTCGACCATAGGGGCAGATTAAACGAGTCATGCTGATACTGCGCCCCCCCCACCCCCATCCCATGTGGTTGGAGCAGACACAGAGCTGTATCCACCCGCCCCCCCACAGCAATAGGTGCTTAGATTGCCACGCTGTCAGTAGCGGAAATCGAGCATCACTCATCTCGCCCAAGCGCACCACAAAAAGCCACAGGAAATGACCTCACGTACGATTCTGACACCTGGCGGCCTTCGCATAAGCATTGGTGTGTAGAGTCATGCTCTAGCTTGGTTGTGCCTCATATAAGAGCATCCATGCTGTATTCAGTCCCACAATGTACCATATTTTGACTCACTTTGACTCCTTTGCCTTCACAAGTAACACTTTGCTTTAGGTAGAACTTCACCTACAGCACAATGTTAAACCATAAACGGTAAAACTATACTTGAGGGGGAACAGATACTTAGTAATAACTCAGTTACTATGAAGTACAAATCATGAACAAATATAGTCACTAATAACATGCGTCATGATTCATTAATGATGAACAAACATGAGATCAGTATTTCACGTGTTATTCATGACTTGTTACTTCAGTAATTCCTTAGTAGTTCCTTTAGTAATTCCTTAGTAGTTCCTTCAGTAATTCCTTAGTAGTTCCTTCAGTAATTCCTTAGTAGTTCCTTCAGTAGTTCACAAAGGTTTGCAGAAATGGATACAGTAACATATAGTAACCGCTTGAGATAAAACATGCAGCACGATTCATTAATGGATAATCGAGTTATTGGTCAAATTATAAAATATTCACATATACAAGCTGCTATGTATTTGTAAGGCACAGGAGAGAGTGACAGCATAAAGTCTGTGTGTGGTTTCCACTGTCAAGCATGGAGGAGACAGTGTCATGGCTTGGGGTTACTCTGCTGGTGACAAAGTTAGTCATCGTTACACAATGAAGTAACCATGATGGAAAACCGTGGTTTCCAGCAAATGTACGGAAACCGATGAATGGTGCTGCATTTGTATTGTACATAGACAATTACATGTACCGTGTTTTAACATCACAAGTACATCCCACATTCTGCAAAACTGCTATATTTTTTGAGATTTGGGCCTTTAAAAATTCAATGGAAAAAAAAAATCATACTTTTTGTCAATCCCGGTTCCCATAAGGCAACCCATATACAAAAATTAGATGAATATTACAGTATGTCACATTAGTTAAAGGGATTACATCGCAGGCGTATTGATTTCGGAGAGGTGGAAGTTTGTCGACAGAGAGGGGACGGGGCTGCGGGCAATAAAATTCTTTGACTGGGGGGGGCTGTCGGTAGGAGGAGCTTTTGACAGTAAAAATTCTTTCTGGCAAATTTAACCTCTGCTGAATAGCAGGATGACAGATTTCTGGGACATTGTGCATCATTTGCGAGTGACAGGGAGCTGCTGTCAATTTCAAGGGGACCCCTGGGAAAGGTCTAAACCTGGGAAAGGTCTAAAGTCTGACTTTGGCTTCCGCTCATGGTGACTCTGGTGGCGAGGTCTCACCTGTCAGGTGTGCAGACGGCTTCGGAGGTTTAACTTCAGTCCGGTATTTACGGGAGGTTGCGTCTCTCTCGTCTGTTTGGGAAAAGGAGGATTCATGTCTTATCAAGGTTCTTTCAGGAAGTAAATATGAAAACTAAAGAAACAAGCGGAGGCTGAATGACAGCGGTGAACAGAAGTCCGTTTAGCTTGATCACGAATGTGGTTCCTACCTTGCTGGCTCTTCTCTATGGTCGTGGTGTCTGTCTGAAATGGAAACAATCGCAGATGTTATCACAGCCCCCAGGCAGCACTCGCTGCGACCGTCCCCC